GAGAAGAGACTTTTTTGAAGACCGGTGAACTGGCATTTTAACCTAAGCTTTAAACTCATGGGAAGTCACAGTGAGAAATCATTAACTGTAGCCTATTAAAACCTGAAGAAACAAGAGACCTGGGCTAGTTGCATTGATTAAAGTCTCTTTTCTGTTTCTAACTCAGTGTTTATCTCCATGCTCTCTGGGGCACTTCTGAGCAAGAGATGCCCACATGTGTGCAGCTGGGGGCAGCTCACTATCCATGCTCACCTAACACCATCATCTAATTGTACTGAAAACCAGAGCTTAGAGTATTTTGAAGTTCATTTTCTTTTTTAAAAACCCACTTATTTAATTAAGTAAGGGAGTAAAATTTCTAACTTATTCCCAGTTCTTTAAGATACTTAAACATCACCAGTATTAATTTATTTTTTAGTAGGCTAACTTAATGCTAAATTGAATACCATCAAAGCCAAAGATGTCTTTTGATGTAGCGAGTCACAATGCAGTATTTTAAAATATTTGTGGGGATGTTCATTTGCAAAGTATAGACATGCAAGAGTATTTATACCTAATGTTACGCGTCTGTTTTATTTACATGTAGATCTTAAAAATTCTTGCCCTACACCTTCTTTGTAGACTGTTCATATATATATATATATATATATATATATATATATATATATATATATATATATAATATATATTCCTTCTGTCACTGGCATCCCTGGCCCTGTCCTGCTGTGTTGAGTCAGGAGCATTGTTGTGCTGTATGTTAACTTTTGTCTTGTCAAGTCTGAGATTGTTACTACTCTCTGGTGGCATGTCATTCTATGCACAGTTAAATTCCTTTACCTTGTCACTTGGATTAGAATGAAGATTGTACATGGATAAAGAGGGTGAAGGGGTAAAGGCATGGCTGCAGAGGAAAAGCTGCAGAAAACATTCATTTAAATTGTTCAAAAGTAAAATAAATTTTGTTAATTTGGAGGTTTTTTAGACAGTGATTTAAAAAAAATAAATTATCCATTGATAGCAGGAGTCACAGTCTTTTGGTTTTGGAAAGTATTCAGTATTTTGATTGACATCAGATATTGAAAACCCAACTTGGTTTCACCAAAGCAAATTATGATGGCACAATAGGATTCTGCTCTGCATGAACCCATGAAATCATTGCCCTACTCATCACTCCATCAGGAAAGCCAAGAGTTTAAGGAATGCAGTGGGGCAGGGCAACTCCTGCCCCTAAAGATCTTCCCTGCAGTTAGTTCCCTTACCTGCCAGCTCTCCAGCAAGATAAGTGGAAGCAGTGTAGCTTGAAGGTGCCTCTGCTAGAATGAGATGCAGCCAGGCCTTTCTGTTCTATACAGGCATCGCAGATCTGACAGCACTTATAAAAGAAGAAGGGAGTCAGTGCCCTGCTGACTAAATTGTCCTCCAGGGGAGTATTAGTTACAGAGCTTCTTTGTTAACTAGGCTGGATGCTTAAACCACCGTTGAACTTCTTTTATTAGCATGTTTTAAGATTGTTCTACATATGGATACCCTAAGTATCTGCAGGGCGGGAATATTTCCATATAATTTACATATAAAAGTTACGTGTGTGTATAACAGTAATATAAAAACTGTATCTTTTATTACTCTTCGGTTGCACCAAGGTCTAGTCGGCACTGAAATCTGATGACACGTGAGCAGGAAGACAGCCACCGTCTTTATATTTTCCTCTTGATACTTGCCTTGATCAGCTTGTTGAATAACAGAAATGTTTTTTATGCCTTTGCAACTTGAATGAAGCTCTCTTAACACCCATCCATGTCACTTTTTCAACCATAATGTGGAGTTTTAAGGGAGGACAGGGAAAGGGATTATGGATTGTGCAGAGAATTACAAAGATTTTTTTCTTTTTTCAAAGTGACATTTTGGTTTTTTATGAAGAAAGATTTGCATAAGATTATTTAAAGACAATTGATGGTTTTTTAAAAACTGAATCTGCATTGTCTTCTCTGTTAGTCCCATATGCAGCATAATAGAAGGTGGTTGTTTACCCTGTCATCTCCTCACTGTGTGTTCTGGGAAGCAGCGTGGGAACCAGCTTCTTTCCCAGCAGTGCTCTGGTTGCCCCTGTCCCTCTAGTGTTAGGTCAGGAAGCACCTGGCTCCTGGAGGCCACCCCCAGCCTCACCATAGGTTCCCAGGGTTAGGAGGATATTTTTAAAAGAATACTCATAATCTGGCTGTCACTTTATTTTTCAGAGGTATTCAGGAGGAGGAAGCCCCGACTCTTGGGAGGATGTGTGCTATGGTCCCCTCTCAGTTCACATTTTTCTCCCACGGAAGAGGTGAAGGCAGTAAGGTGATACTAGTGTTGCTGGTTCTTTTGGCCAGAGCCAGATGTAAACCTTCTGGCTGTGCAGCCATAAGTTCTCTGTCCTAGCTGCTCTGCCACCGTTGGCCTTCAGAGCCAAAGTCAGCTCTGAAAGGTATGGACTGGCCAGTTCAGGGATGTGCTGTGGACACTGTAATTTGAACTTCATATATTTTTCTCTTACTAATTTTTTTCCAGTCATTAAAAAATGTATAGCTTGTGGGCAGAGCAAAAAAGGGGCCCATGTTCAGCCTGCAGGCCACAGCTTGCAGTACCCTGCTTTCAAGAGCCACTGCAGTTATGTCCCTTTGCACATTCATGAGATGGTTCCATCCATTAGAAAGGGGAACACAGACCCTGAAAGGATCCTCTAAGGTCCTCCACTCTTCCCTGCTTCACGCTCTTCCCAGGCTCCAGGGTTGGGCCCAGGGAGAAGTCAGCATGCAGGCTGGTGCCGGAGGAACAGGCACAGTCGGCTCCCATTTTCCTTTTGAACACATCAGTGTCTGTGAACATGTACACATCTATTAACCTAAGTTTGTTTTGAGGAATTCCGATAACTGCCTTCATTACTGAAGTGTGACTGCTTTGTACATAACATGTACCTGGCTGAGTAGCCTGCCTGTTTCTACCTGTCTTCTCCGGGTTATATTCAATTCAGAAGCTCTAAATGGAACTATTGTTGAATCCAGTAATCAAGTTAAATACAAAGCTTACCAGTTGAATGTGTGCACAATCATGATCTCCTGTGCCCTGTGCAGAAAGGTTTATTTTATCTCTGAATTCTAAAATCTGATTCAGCTTACCTCATTTTATTTTGGGGATTTTGATATTCCTTTTTCCAGTAGTAACATTTTCAATCTACCCTGTTGGCATTTTGTTGTTTTTCATAAACACAATTATTTTACATTAAAGATAACTCTTTTATTTATAACTGAGAAGTTATTCTTAGCACATTTTCCCTGCAACATTCATCTCTTTGTGAGGTTCTCATCAGCTATAACTAGAGTGTTTAAAAATAAAAAAAAAGAAAGAAAGAAAGAAAGAAAAGAAATTCAGTTTCTCTGTTTAGAAAAAAAGAGAAAACAGAAGTTAATTACATGTTATATCAGATGATCAGCAGATGAACTATCCAGGGATCCTAATCTTGAGTTTGCTTTGTGACATTTTGTCATTGCTGAAGAGCTATGACCAGCTCTCTTTACCTTGCCCTTTTATATTTTCTGAGCTAGATTTATTCTTAGAACCCAAAGCATCCTCCACCCCCATTTTTCAAAGCCCTAGTTTCAAAGGTCCCCATAGCAAGCAAAGTTAAACATTAATGAAATTGAGTGATTAGAGCTTATGTATTAGGACTGAATATACCTTGAGGCAGTAATAACCAGGTATTTCTGATTTTGTTCTGCAGTATTTAGTCTGGATTACCAGGACAGATATGTTTTATACTGCAATTCAGCATTTAGAATTCACTGAACATCTAGTCCCCAGCTTTGTCTGGGCTTGCAGCATTGGAGATCTGAGTCCAGTAATTCCTGCAAGCCTTTGCCTAGGTACTGAACATCTTTTGGTGGCCCCCAGTGTAGGCCATGGGGCACAGCATAAAGGAGCCACCATGTATGGTCTGTTGCTGCTTTTTTGTTTCTCCTCTTCCCTTTATTTTCTTTAGCTCCTGCATCTGTCCTCAGTAATGTGACCTTCAACAGTAACTTTGACTCTCTGAACTTCAGTTTTCTGAAGCTGTCAAATGGAGATTTTTAATAACTTCCTCAGAGGGTGTTATGGTCAAATTAGATAGCATTGCCAGCATCAAATTGTTATATAAAGGCATAAGCTGTAACATTAGGACTCATTTCTGCCAACGTAAGTTCAAAGGAATTTATTTTCGCAATGTCACATAAAAATACAAATATCACTATTTTATTATAACAGTACTTTGTAGTTATTTAAAATGTAATAATTCTTCACTGCAAAGTTTGGTTAAATTTTTGACTGTTGCTGGGCACGGTGGCGTATGCCTGTAATCCCAGCGACTTGCAAGGCTGAGGTAGGGGGATCATGAGTTCAAACCCAGCCTCAGCAACTTAGCAAGGCCCTGTGTCGAATAAAATGTTTTTTAAAAGGACTGGGAATGCGACTCAATGGTTAAGTGCCACTGGGTTCAATTCCTGGTACCCCCCCCCCAAAAAAAAGACTATTACTACATTACAACGTCCTAGTTTGAAATTTAGTCTATAATGTTGATTCTAAACAAAGGGACCCAAATCCTGTGGTTGCTCAGCTTATGGAAGCCCTCATGTTAGAGCCAGGTACTCCATTCCTATGGTAAGTCACCCATCCATGGTATCCGCACGGCACCTTGCTTGGGCCTGATGGACTTGGCATGGCAGCAGAAAAGAAAACAAAGAGGATGGTTTTATGAAGAGAGATACAGCTTTCCTCATTTTTTTAGGAGATGCTGACTCTCATGGGTTCATCCCAGGAGGGAACTCATTAATATCTTCTAATAAAAAGTGGCCATACTCTGAATTGGGCGTTAATTTAGAAAAGAAAATTTTGCTCTGAAGGGGACATTGTTATGATTTTCATGTAGTATGTCAGTTGGATATTGGTCCAGTGTGTTACCCTATAAATACATGCTTTTCTTTCTTTGTTAGGACCTGTCTGGCTCCATTGATGACCTCCCCACGGGAACGGAAGCAACCCTGAGCTCCGCGGTCAGCGCGTCGGGGTCCACAAGCAGCCAGGGCGACCAGAGCAACCCAGCTCAGTCACCTTTCTCTCCACATGCATCTCCCCATCTCTCCAGCATCCCTGGGGGGCCATCACCTTCTCCTGTTGGCTCTCCTGTAGGAAGCAACCAGTCGAGATCTGGCCCAATTTCTCCTGCAAGTATTCCAGGTATCACCTTCTTAATTGTCACTGTTTTTCTCTGTTAAACAACAGCTCTAACATTCGACGGTGGCACTCACACTCCATGACTTGTTTTATTATCCCCCAGTGATGGCACCATGCGTTAGGAATGTAGCTGCATTCTCAAAGAAGAATACCATAGTCCCAATTCCTAAAGAGTCTCAGCAAATGAGTCTACCACCTACCACCCATTTAGAAAATACCAGATACTTTGATATTTTCAGTTTGCCAGAAACACAAAACTGATCTCTGAGCATTTACTCTGTAATGCTTTGTTAAATAAGATCCTCTACTGGTAAGTGCACTGTGTGGTTATTCATGAGCATTGGCCTTGGTTTTTCCATTGTCCTCTTCAAAGTATACCTCAACGGTTATTTCTCAAATGTTTTTAGGGTTTGTAATTCCTCATGTCTGCTCATATTCACACGCTGACCAGTGCCAGAACACACTCAGTGATGTTCTTGGAATTATTTATTTATTTGAATATTTATTTTTCAATAGCTTCATCTCTGATCCAGCTTTCTTATATCAAATGTCATACATTTAAACCCACCAAGCAACTAGCTTTTGTTTCTTATTAAATTATGTGTAAGTTTTTTTTTTTGTGCAACTTTTGCTAACATAGTACGGATATGTCAGAAAGCACTTTGATTGAACTACRTATCAGAATGGGTATTGAATTGCTAATAAAGTCTCATTTATATTTGATTTTGTATTTTCATAAAATGTTTATTATGGAATACTTGTATATTTATTATAGTGTATATATGTAACATAGATAACTTGCTAATTGTGAATCATGACCATCATGAATATTCATGAGTCCACCGTCCAGTTTGAGTATTGGTGTCACTGGTGCTGTTACATCTTACCTGTATGTCCCATCCCTGTCTCAAACTCTGTTCCTTTCCTCCACTTCTAGATTTTTTTTATCACTTTTTGTTTTGTTTTGTTTTGTTTTTGTAGAATTTTATTACAAGCATTCAGAGTATATGGAGTTAGTTTTATTTGATAAATTTCTTTGTAGAAATATATACTATTTATTTAATGTCATGTTGTCAATAATTACAGTAGAACTACAAGCACAAATTAAGAAGGCCCTGGGAAAATCAGAAAATACTGCTTCCAGTCACACCATATGTAGTCTGCTTTGTCTTACTTTTTGGCTAATGGTTAAGTTTCTAAGATTCATCCATAATTTGATCATGGCCATAGTTTTAAGGCATTTTAATGTTACCTTTCCTTCAAGAATATTTGCTTATCCTCCTAGTGTTTACAATAAGACATGGACTACTTATTGTTAAGAGTGTTAACTCTGAATACTCCCTACTTCAGAATTTCTAAGGCAATTTTTGCTGTTCAGATTTTTTTTTTTCAGATTGGTATTTGAGGGGTGTCATCTAAATGTTGGAAAATCATATATCAAGTGTTGTATTTCTCCAAAAAGAGCTCACTCCTTTATTCTGAATTAATAACTAATCTAAATACAGACTTTTCTGAGGTATAAAGAATATTTATACCTGACATGTGTATTTGACAATCTGAAGATGTTTTTACGTACATTTATCTTTCCAGGTGGAAATTTCTGAGCCTTTGTTTTCAGTGACTGGGTTTTGATGTAGTGTAGAGCACATACCTTAAGAGAAAAGCTCACATTGGGCCTGTGGTCCTGGATGGTCAGGCATTAGGTTGTTAGGTCATGCACACAGAGGAGAGGAACTGGTCGTCAAGTCCAGTGCTGTGTGTTTTGGAGGGTAAGAGTTGGTCATTGATCACGTACCGGCACAGTTGCTGTCCATGCTCCCCAGTAGCTGCAGGTGTGGCCATGGAGGGGAATACCAGTGTTCCTATTCATTTCTCCCTGCCAATTCCTTTTGTAATCGAAAACTGTCATCTTTCTTGAAAATGTTTTTGAAAGCAGAGAGCTTGTTTTTTAAACTTGTATCAGCAGTGCCCATCTTAGCTGTGCTTCATCCGAGTTCTGTGTTGGTTGATTGAACTTTTCACTGATATTTAGTACAGGGAAGAAATTAGGCAGCAAAAGCTTCACCTTTCTTAGTGATACTTTGTTTGTTTGGTTCTTTGTGAAACTGGGGATTGAATCTAGTGGTGCTCTACCACTGAGCTAGTCCTTTTTATTACATCCCTAGTCCTTTTTATTTTTTGAGACAGTGTGTAGCTAAGTTGTGAAGGCTGGTCTCAAGCTTGCAATCCTCCTGCCTCACCTCCCTGAGTCACTGGGAATACAGGCCTGCACCACTGTACCTGCCCTTAGTGACTGACATACTCTTGAAGTAAATCTTGACTCTTTCCTAAGTGTGAAGGTGCATATRTGATCAAGCATATAAAACATGACAAAGAGAACATTTCTTAACCTTAGAATTGTTCTAAAGGGAAGAGCCTCTTAAAAAGTCTGATGGACAATTTTGGCATTTGTTCACCTTCCTCCCAGATGGAATTGCAGTGAACTTTTGAGCTAGATGAATGGGCTTTCATAACAGCTAAACCCTCCTCCTTATCGTCAAGCCACTTGCTGAGTAAACTTGGCAAGCTTCTAAGCTTCCCTGAGCCTCAGTTTCTGCATCTGTAAAGATAATATACATGTAAGACAGGTACATGCTACATGTAGGACCTGGTGAGCACTTAATGCCTATTGATTATTGTCGTTTCCATCAGTTATTGTTCTTATTCAAGCTGAGACCTGGAGACTTATCCATTTGTAATTACCATCCAGAGCAGTGCGATTGGTTTTTGCAGCAAGTCCCTGATTCTTTATCCAATAGTGTTCACAAGGTGCGTATGAAGTTTCAAGTTATGGTTAGCTCTGATTACCGAGATTGTTCAGCTGGACTGCTAGCCATAAAACTGCATAATACATTTTCACAAAGTTGAATCTATTTTTCTTCTTACTTAAAAAAAAAAGGTCACAGCTGCTCTTCTTGAGGGTTGGGACTGAGAAAATAAAGATAAAAAGATTGTATCCCTGAGATTAACAGAATTTTTGCCACTATTTCTACACATAAAAATTTTGTGGGACAGAAACCCTTGCTTCACTCAGGCCATAGGCAAGTTGATTTCTGTATGATGGGCCGTCAGGTTAGCAAAGTTTAACATTAGGTGCAGTTCAGAATCCTGGATTATTTCTCCCTCTTTTTTGTCTTTTTAGAGATGATATCAGTTAGCTCTGAGCAGTGTCCTACTCAGGGCCAGCACACACTGGCACTTGCTGCTTCCTGTGCAGCAACACAGGGTTGACAGCCAGCCTGCTCTCCTGGGATGGAGTGCCCTTTTTTGAGTTATAGAGGAGCAGGGAACCCAAGGGTTCCCTGCTCCTCTATAACTCAGAAAAGGGCGCTCTATCCCCTTTTTGGGGGGATAGTCCATGGCTTGAATCCAGATGTCCTATTTCTCCTCTCTTTGTTCCCACAGCTAAGCCTAAGGACAGTCAAAACTAAGTCTTTGATAGGTGTTTATGAAAAAAGTTATGGTGCTATTTTAGTGGGATTTGTTTAAAAATCCTAACAGATTTTGTTGAAAAAATTACAGGTTTCTCAATCCATTTTTACCTACCTAGTCTGTATACCATCTCCCATATGCACACACACTTGTGAAAAATTACATTTCCCTAAAATTCACATCCTTATTCTCTGGGAGGTGTTGAGTTAGTCAACTTACATTATGTTATGTGTTTTTGTGAATTTGGTCATTGGCAATAAGGCACACTTTGGGTTGATCAGAAAGTTGATATTTGGTTTTTGTTTTTTATTTACTTCTAATTAAATGTAAACACACCTTTATTTACTGAAAAATTGGGCCCTTGTATCATCTTCTTTCCCCATCTCTAGCCCTTGTTTTTMAATTTTGCTGATCTGTACATTAGATGCTAAGATAATATGTAGCCTCCTTCCTTTGGCTTTGAGTCGGAACTGGTGAAGTGCAGTGTCCTGTCAAGATTCCGTGGCCTTCCAGAGCAGGGCTCTCAAACTGCTGCTATACGTGCAATTGGACTGTCCCTTTCTTTTCTTTTTTTTTTTTTAATTTTAAAATTTTTTATTCTAATTTGTTATATATGACAGCGGAATGCATTACAATTCATATTACACATATAGAGCACAATTTTTCATAACCCTGGTTGTATGCAAAGTATGTTCACACCATGAGTGTCTTCATATAGTACTTAAAGTAATGATGTCCATCTCATTCCACCATCTTTCCTACCCCCAGGCGCCCCCTTCCCCTCCCACCCCTCTGCCCTATCTAGAGTTCGTCTATTCCTCCCACATCCCCCTCCCAAGTCGTCCACTATGAATCAGCCTCCTTATATCAGAGAAAACATTTGGCATTTGGGTTTTTTCTCCAACTCCATCCATTTACCTGTAAATGCCATGATTTTGTGGGATGTTCCTTTACTTTCTGTGTGTAGGTTTTGCTTGCTTTTGTTCCTCTCCTTCCTCTCATCTCCAGCACTGACTTGTTTTTTCTGACCTTGCTTCACTCTCCTTACCTCTTGCTGTATCTTGATGCTGCCTCTCCCTGAGTCACAGACTGGCTCATTCAGTCTCTCCTTGTAAAATGCACAGCTGTTGTGTAGCTGAGAGCTGGGATAAGGTAAAGCCAAAATGTTGTGGGGGGTCTAGTATTGCTTTCCTAGCATTTGTTAAAGAGAGCAATCATTTTTCTCCATCTCTGCCCTCGTAAATGAAATTGACAGCTAATGAGAAGTATCACAAAGGTGGATAAACAAAGACCAGTAAAGCATCCCATTTGGCTGATTATGATTTTTGTCTGTGAAACCGTTGCTCCACCCACTGCAGTTTGCCCCCTGATCATGCTGCCTCGCAGCCCTGGTGAGCAGCCTGGGAACAGCTGCTGCCAGGGGGCATGGGAGGCACTGGCCCTGCCACATCCCTTCTTCAGTGGGCTTTTTCCTTCCTTCTTTCTTTTAAAAAGCAACATGGAGATTCCCTGTGGTTACTATCCACATGGAT